TCCCCCCCCCCATCCCAGGTGTCGGGATGCCTCATCCTTTATCCCATCGCCAAAAAAAAACAGGGACAGGGACCAAAAAAAAAAAAAGGGACCATTTTTTGCATTTTTAATCAATGCAAAACCAGCCCAGACGGTGCTGGGAGAGGAATGGGAGGCGCCTGCTCCGGCCATGGCTGAGCTGCTTTGTGCATGGGGGCCGGCGGAGACCTGGGGCCAGCGCTCCCGGCTATTGAGGTGACGGATGAATGGGACGTGCTGGACGCTCCCCATTCTTCGGCCCGGCCGCTGCAGGGACGTCGGGAGCCTGGATGAATAGCAGCAATGTTTCAGGGAGGAAAAGGCTTCACAGGCTCTGGGGGAGGGGGGCAAGTCCTGGACCCTCCCAAACCAGCCTTTCCAACAAGGGGCTTATTCAGGGGCGCAGGGCTGAGCTGGGATGCTCGGAGACCCGTTAAGGCAGTGGGAGCGGGAACGCCTGGCTGGAAGGGGCCGACGGGGCTGTGGGAGGTGGTGGTGGGGGCCTGCATGGTAAAGGGGGGGCCTGGGTGCGGCGGTGGGGACCCTTTTGTGCGCAGGGCGGCTCCGGAGGGCCCCGCTTGCGGCACACTGCGGCTGTGACGTGAGCGTGGAGGGATGGAGCAGGCGCATGGACACACAGCTGCTGCCACCTGCCCAGGCACCACCTCGGGAGGGGAAGCACAGGTCTTGGAGCTTTTTCAACCTTCACACAAAACCTTTCTCATTTTCAAGCCTGCAGCAGGGCACAACACCTGTGCGGGGGGCAAAGGGAGGCCAGAAGCCCCATTTTCTCATTGCCCCTTTTCTCCAGCAGAATCCCGGCTCCAAGCACTGCTGCCTGAACACACCCCAAACACCATCCCAGCCACCAACAGCGTGGCCAGCTCAGGAAACAGCCCTCATTTCACAGAGGAACAGGCCAGTGACACGATCAGCCAAGCCTCAGGGCAGGGCAGAGCTGGGCCAGCAGTGGGAGCACAGCCACAAGCCATCCCGCTGCTCTCCCAGTGGCCCCTGCCCGCTCCCAGGGGCCATTTTGTCCAGTATCACAGCACAGCACAATCCTGTGGGACTGGGGATGCCTCCTGCAGGCACGCCCTTAGGGAAGAGGCTGCAGCACCGGTCCCTGTCCTCCTCTCAGGGTGGGAAGGAAGGCAGCAGCACCTCAGCGAGGAGGGTAGCACCAACTGGACCAGCTGAAACCCACACCCCATCTCCTCTCCCCTGGCCCAAGCAGCTTTCCTGCCCACACAGCCTCAGGGTTCAAGGGGGCAGCTGGTGGCTCCCTCCCACCTCCCCCAGCCCCTCTATGCCCAGCCCTGGCAGCTCCCTCGCCCACCTTCAGGTGTTTCCACCTCTGAGCAAATGCAGCTGGGACCCCTTTGCCACAAGTAATATCCAGCAGTAAGCACAGGGGACCGAGCCAGAACTCAGGTCTGGTTTTGCCCCACGATCCCTGATTAGCAGCAGTAACTCCGTGCCTCAGTTTACCCACCTGAGCAACGGTGGCACCCAACCCAGCTCAGTCCTGGCAGGAAGACACAGCAGGACGCAGCCCCACGCTCTCTTCCCGCTTACCTCGCCCGCCACAAAGAAGAGCAACGGTGCCTCCTCATCTTTGGCTTTGTACTTGGCAATGATTTTTTCAGCTATGGGTTGAATCAGTTGTTTCGCTGCCTCCGACTCTCCGTCATCCTCCGAATCTGCAGGGCAGAGGGGTGGGGAGACAAAACAAAAGAGGTGAGGCAAAAAAGGAGGTTAGGATCAAACAGATGCAAACCGGCCAGGCGCAGGCAGCTCTATCCCACAGCACCACCACGGAGGAAACCAGAGCCCGGATGCACAGCACAAACTTCAAAGCCGTGTGGCTCTGTAGCAATTAGGGAGCAGCTGAAATGTGCTTTTCATGTGAGACAGGGAAACATGTAACAGAAGAGCAGCTCCTGCTCCCCAAATACTTCACTGCTCGCTCCCCTGGTGCCGCTGCTGAAGCGCAGGGACAAACAGGCACAAAAAAGCCGTTTTGCAGTTTGAGAAGTGTCAGGATGTTTTGAAGACCAAACGAAGGCGCTGATCTGAGGCTGCCTGCCACCCCTGCCCGCCACCCACCATCCCTCCGCCTCGGGACGGCTGCTCGACTCTCCGCGGCAGCAGCACTGTGAAGGCAGCTTTGATTTGACAGAGGTAGAGTAGAAAGAGATGGCAACATCAATCAAACGCCAGCCACCACTGAAGTTCAAATACTGAGCTGGGAAAGAGGAAAGACTGCGTCCTTGAGCAGCATCGAGATGAAACGATTTCAATTCGGGGACAACTTTTAGCATTAAAAAAAATAATAATAATAAAAAAAAAAAGTAAGAAGGCAGAAGAGAGGCCCCACGTTTCCCTGTCACTTGCAGCTCTTGTGGTCCCTGATGTAACCACCCGACAGGACCGGTCCAGCCCCCAGCTGGGACAGGCACTGCCCACACCCAAAGCACTCTCTGCCCTTGGCTCTGCACTCCCTTGCTCTCTCCTCTGGCTTCTCCAAGCAAAGCAGGAGACGCCAGAGATGCTGCATTTCGGGGTCTGTCCTGTGTGGGCGACAGTAATAAATACATAGAGTTGTGGGGTTTCTGGGGGGATTGATTTTCCTACAAGCAAGCTCTGCTGGCGGGGCTCCAGGCAGCCCTGCACACTCTGGCTAACCCAGCTCTAAACTCTCCGGGGGCGGATGTAGAGCGGTCGGGATTTTATTCACAACCAGCTCTTGCTAAACCTGTCTTCTCCTGGGGGTGCTGCTGCTCCTGCAGCGCACACACCAGTCTGCTGGGGAGGTGGGGGGTCTCCCAGCAGGACAGGGGCTGACCAGGAGCCCCCCATCCCCAATGCCTGCCTCAGTGCAGCACCAGCTTTGTCTGAGCCCCAGCACTTCGTTTCACCCAGGCCAGGTATCCCCTCCAGCGCCGAGCGCCCCAGGTCGGAGAGGGCTCTCCCAACAAGTTGTTTGCAACAAGGTGATAGAAAAAAAAACTTTGCTCAGAGCAAGATAAAAATAACTCTTTCCAGGGGCCTGCAGCGCTGGCCCCAATCAATCAAGGCTCAGCGTGGCCAGCCGGTCCTCCCCGCGCGAGGAGAGTATTTTTGGCTCGGCACTCACGTCCCCTGCTGGGCTATGCTGAATAAATAATCAGGGTTCAAAAGGAAATCTGGAAGGGAAGAAGGGAAAGAGTGAGAGCCACGTTATCAGCGCTACAGAGAAGGGTGTGCTGCTCACAAAGGGTGTGCGAGGAAGCCGGACATGAGCCCTGCCCTGGGCCAGGCCCCTCGCACAGTCCTGGAAGGCTTGGGGCAAGGGGGGCTTCTTCAGCAAACCCACACCACAGCTCCAGGAGTGCTCAAGGGACAGCCACGCTCCCTCCGAGAGCACAGGACCCCTTCGTCTCACTCCCTCCAAGGCTCAGCCTACAGCACAGCTAATCCCAGCCATAGACCTCGCCTGATTTAACTGTCCATCACGGGCAGGGAAGGGATGAGGAATGAGCCAGCTGTGCTTCAGACGAGCTCTAGGGCTGTTTCCAACCACAGCGGAGCTTCATGTGTGGGTTAGCAGTGGGAGAGGGACAAGAGCTTTGGGGAAAAGCCTGTCCTGTCCTGCAGCCAGCACCCCACAGGGGGAATACCCAAGGACCAGCAAAGCACAAAAGAGGCCCCTCTGTCTGTCACAGCCCCGCTCAGCCCAGGGATTCAAGCCCTGAGCTGTGGTTTCCAGCAGAGCTGTAATCCTTCCCAGAGACGCTTCCTCTGCCTCCTCTGAAACATCACGTGTGCCTGAAGTCCCTGCTCCAGAAAAAGCTTTTCCCATCTTTACTACCACCGACCGTGACAGCGTATTTCACGTACTCCCCAACACCTCATCAGCATTCCTCTCCACAGCCGCCGCTAAAGCATCTTTGATATGACAACTCCTCTCCACGGCAGATCACTATTCTGTCACATCCCTCGGGTTGCTGGGCTGGAGCTGCAGGAGATCCATGGGCAGGGGCAGGCTCTGGCCAACCCCTGCGAGCTGCAGCAGCCCAGGCAAGGTACCAGGTCTTTCAGCCCCCTTGAATCCCTCCAGGGGACTCCACGGGGAACTCTCTCTCCTCATGGCCTTTCCACACACAGCCCTGCTCTTGGGTGATGGAAAACGCCAAGATGTCGACGTCCCTTCCCACGGACACTGTCACAGCTGGAGACAGGTTCTCAGCCCGGTGGCCCAGCTCTAGCTGTGCTGGCCAGGTAGCCCAGCCCCCTTCCCAAGCACAGGCTCTGCTTTCAGAGCAGCGATGCTCCGTACCTACAAAGAGAACGAGGCAGGGGCCCTCATTCAGCTGCACGGCGTTGGAGTCCGTCAGCTCCAGCACAGGTTTGGGGTGCCAGGGGAATTCGCGGCATTCCACGTCGTTCAGCACCTCCACCCGCCCCTGCCGCGTGATCACCTCCCCCTTGGAGTCCAGGACGATGAGCGTCGGGATGCCTGCAACGGAAGAAAAACAGGAGGGATCAGCCAAAGCGCGAACCGGCCAGCGACAGGGCGTGGGGAGAAAGGCCTTTTTCCTATCGCCTCCGGCTCTGGCAGGAGCCCAGCGAGCCTCTGCGCAGCTCACACAGAATCGGGGTCCCTGGATCCTGTTTCCCTCCCAGCAGAGGGCTGGAATTCAGCAGCCCGAGCAGGAAGCCAGGAGACAGACTCTGGCATTTTGGAAGAAAAAAAGATTCAGATTAGATCTCAGGAAGAAATTTTTTACTATGAGGGTGGTGAGGCACTGGAACAGGTTGCCCAGGGAAGTTGTGGATGCCCCATCCCTGGAAGTTTTCAAGGCCAGGCTGGATGTGGCCTTGAGCAACCTGCTCTAGTGGGAGGTGTCCCTGCCCAGGGCAGTGGGGTTGGAACTCGATGATCTTTGAGGTCCCTTCCAACTCTAATCATTCTATGATTCTATGATTCCCTGCCCGAGCGCAGGCAGGGATCACCACCACCCGGTGCTCCTGGATGCAAACCCCACCAGACCACGCAGGGACCACCACCCCAGCGCCGAGACAGGGATAATGCTCGAAGAGCCCGGTCCCCGGTTCGGAGAAACACACGCAAACCTTCCTGCAGGGTGGACCGCAGGCAACAGCAGCCAGGAAGCAGGGTGTGTTCCTTCCCAGAAGGAACACCATATATTTCAGCAGCCACAAAGTCCTCCATGAACCCCCACGCCCCTCCAGCACTCAGCGCTAATCGCCCAGCCATTTCCAGAGGACAGGGACGTGTCTAACAAGTCATGAAGAGAGAGATAACTGGTTAACTATGTCCCTCTATACGAAGGAGGACAGTACAGATCTGCCACAACACGCCCCTCCTGAGACTAATGAAGCTGTGCAGGAACATCCAGGATCTACTGGATGGTGGCACTGGGCAGGACGGGGCTCAGGGAACATCTGATGAGGTTCTGGCCCTTGGCACAAAGCAGCATTCTGCCCCCAGTTCTAGGGCTGGAAAGCCCCATCCTAAAGGAGAAGCCATTACAAGGGAAGCAAACACACTTGCAGCAGAAATTTAGCACAAGTCACCTATTCAAGAGCGGCCAGGCTGGCAGCAGGGCAGGGTGGACACCAGCTGGTGACCGTCCCATCTGATAAGGCACAGACAGGGCTTTCCTGCCACAAAACTGTCACGGGAGAGTCAATAGGAGCAGCTCATGTTGGTGACTTCATCTGGAAAGTACACCATTCCTCTCACATGGAGGAGACAAAGAACATCCCCCAAACCACAACTGGCAAACCAAAGCAACTCAAATCCAAAGCAACTCAAATCCTCCTAGCCCTCGCCCAAAGGTTCATTTTAAGCTCATTTGTTAGAAATACCCAGCAGAGCCATTCTCTGAGCAGGGGGGACCCAGTGTGCTTGCCTCCTGGCAATGAGCTCCCGTGTTTGTACAACAGTGGGTTACTCACGAGCCCTCTGAATTTTAGGCATTTCTCTAGGAAATACACGGCCGTCTGTCTGTCCCACGCCTGCCTGCAGGTCCGGGCGAGCGGCCACATTCCCCTCATTCCAACCCGGCAGCGCTGCTCGCATTCCTGCCCCTGCCGGGGCTGCGAGCACCAGGCTGGTGCAAGAGCAGCAGCGGAGGAACGCCCTGATGGCTGGGGCTTGCAAATCCTAAGGGTATGCCAAGAAAACCATTTTGTATCACAAAAAGGCTTATTCATTACCTGCTGGAATTTAAAATAGCTGTAGGGCAGGGATGGGTTAAAACAGGATGGAAGGAATTGGGAAATCTCACTCCGGCCCTTCCCTGCAAGGCACAAACTACTGCTGAAGCCAGGAGAAGCACACGGCCATCAGCATCCCAAGTGGTTCGGATCTTTATCCATTTATGATTCCCAACTCCGTCCCAAATGCCTGCTTTTCCATCCTCTCCAGACCTGCATTATACACGAGGGACAGGCTAGAAACACGGGTTCAGTTTGGTACCTCCTGCCTTTCAGCCTGAACAATGCAGCATGCCAAGGCAGAGATTTCAAATGACCTTTGCTGATTTGGGAAAATTAAGGGCCCAATTTAGACAGAGATCATTGGGAGTGTGATCCCACAGCTATCAGGGACTTCATCCACTATTCAAAGCATTTTGACTTTACCCAATTTGCATATGCAGACACCAAAGCACCCAGCCACTAAAACCTCCAACTGCAAATACAAAACTGACTCAGAAAACAAAGAGTCTTTAAGGTAATTCACCCTGGGTTTAGCACGTTTAGAAAACAGAAGTAACACATCAGGAAACTTGGGGCTGGGTTTTCAGCCTGTAAGGAGTTGCACGACATGCGCTGGGTCACTCCCTGCACCTTTTCCTCAGCATCAGAGGTTTCTCACCAGCTATGAAGCTCTGGTTTCCCTTCCGGATCTGCCTGGTGAAGGCTGAAGCTGCCACGACCCATCTACTCCCATTCCTGAGCATCACTGCCCTGTCTGCTCCTTAATGTGCACCCCTGGCAAGGTCCCTGGGGTTAGGACACAGCCTTTCCATGGTGGCATCCCATAGGATCAGCCTTGCCTTCCCAGGTGAACCTTGTTACTGCTCCCCCTTTGCATGGGACACACACCAGCACAACCAGGGCAACCGCCCTTAACCTTATTCACACCCACTAACCCCAGTATTCCCCCCACCCCAGTCCCCCTCTCCCTACTCATCCCAGCCACTATTTGTTATTTTAGTGCCTTTTGGGGGCTTTGGTAATTGCCATGAGTCATAACACCAGAATTTACTTATCAAGAAGAATCACAGATGAGACACTCTGCAATGAATATTGTATAAGCTGGGATAAGAATTAGCATAGACAGGCTCAGTTTGATTTTACGCATTAGAAAATGGATTCAGTCCCCACGGGGCCAGCATTTTATGAAAACACAGGGGCCAAATGATTTGCTACCGAACCTGACAATACATTTACCTACTTACATATTAAAACACATATCCGACATGGAAATCTCATCTGCATTAAGTCTGTTGGGGGAGTAATCAAAATTGCCGCAAAGCAAACACTCGGATACACCAACCACGGGAGAGGTGGTGGGATTTATTGCTGGTTTTTCACCTTTTCAGAAGAAAGCTGCAGAAATCTGCTCCAAGAAACCTTCCATAACAGCGACTCCCACCAGCTGTGAGAGTGACCTGTTGGTGTCTGGGCTAAAGCACGGGGCAGGGGTAAAACAACAGTTTTTGGAAGTTCCCCCAAAGGACTGCAAATCTGAGAGAGATGCCAATGAGGGAATATTCAGGAAGCTAAAATTTCTCATGAGATGCACAACAACAGCGGGCAATTCCTATCTGACCATAACTATAACATTTATCAGCCCTCCCCATCCCATCAGAAGGAGAGCTAACGTCAGAGGATTTCAGCCAAGGCAGGACCCTGCAGACCGGGAGCCGCACACACAACAGAGAATTATTTCTGAGCAGGCAGGACACAAGGCATGACTCTCTCTCAAGATAGTGCTGCACCCAGAAGCAATTTAATATAGGTGGGTACGGTACAGCCCACTGACTGCACTTGGATTATGAATAGAGGCATTCAAGTAAACCCAAATAAAGGCCAATAACTCAACTTATATTTTACACTGAGTTTTTGAATGCCGCAGGGGCCAACATAGGACTAAAACAACAAGAGATTTGACTCTCTTGCTGCTTTCTACGACTCAGGAACGTAAAGCAGTTGGGGAAGACAAGCTCTTCTGTTGTTTCAGCTCCCAGCCTTACAAAAATCAGTGGAAAAACTATTCTACGTGCATGTTGTGCTCATAACCCAAGGCACCACCAGGATGCTACCCTGGACACTGTGAACGGGCTACATCCTCTCGCTGGTGCATAGGGCAGCTCCAAAAGGGGGCTTCAAAGATGCTTGGCAGCATCAGAGCCACACATTTGGGAAAAAAGCAAGTCAGACTACCTGGATCCAATTTTGCATTAGGTGGAATAACCACCAGTGGCCATGAGCTGAGCTCTGTTTGCAGAAAGCTTTCGCTAGAGCTGGTGCGGGAGCCTGTGCAGGGGTCAAGGACAACCTGGAGTCTGTGGGGAGCAGTAGAAGGGTTTCCCTCCATCCTTCTCCCTTGTCTCCTGGCGCCCTCCCCTACCCTGGACCACGGTGGGTAAACAGAGCCCAGCCCAGCCTTGCAAAGCCTGTGTGGTGCCAGGGCAGGAAGGGAGGTGGGACAGCGATGCTTCCCATGCAGGGGTGCACTTTAGCCTGCCTCCCCATTTCAACGCGTGCAATGGGTAATATGGGAGCCACCCTGGCAGAGGAAGGGGTCAGGGCACAGGGGAACAGCAAATATTTACATTTTCAGGTCAGCATACAATGAAAAGAGAGATATTTAAGGAGCCAGCGGCTGGAGTTAGAGGGAAAGCTGTTGTCACTGTTTCCCTGGCTACAGCATGCCTGGTGCTCAAGTATCCGTGTCTGGACACCTTATTTACAGAAAGCCCCAGTGAAACTGGCAGCTATCCTGCAGTGCTCGGCCGAAACTGGCACTGGAGAAGTTTGTGATCGGGCCGGGGAAAAGACGGATGAATCTGGAAAGCTCTTACCTCATGGGAAGGAACTTAAGCAGCAAACTGATGGCTATTTAAAGCAGGCAAGTCACTGTTCTTCATTTAAGGTCAGGGAACAGAGCTGAGGACAGCACCTGAGGTCACCCCAGAAGGGGTGTTCGGAGAGGACCCCAAAGAGGGATTATTTCTCCTGTCACTCTCCCCAGGCCCTTGGCCACCTTTGGCAACACTCCTCCTCCCCTGCAGACTGCATTAACCCTCTGCCAGCCTGTGCTCACCCCACCGACGCCGCATGGAAACGGCTAAGAAACAGGTAGTTGCAGCAAGACCCTGTAACCACAGGGAGAAACTGTATGTACGTACAGAAGACCTCCTTGAGAGCTATTCACCTCACACGTCTCTACGCTGCAGTTTGTCCCCTGCAGGAACAAGGTGCCAGTCCCCAGGAGGGCTGCTGTGAGCTTTTATCATCTCTGGGACGCTTTGAAGCCACCCAGACAGAGCCTTTCCCCTGCCCCTCCGAGCAGCCAGGGCTGCTGGAATTCTGGCACTGGCACGTACAGTAAAGGCAAAGCCATGGTTTACATCAAACACACGCTCTTCTGTAATTCATGTCACTAACATAAACCAGATGCCATCTTCCTCAGTCTCTGCAGAGAACGATGGCCTGCCTTTGCGATACATAAAACAGCAAGAAAATGAAATTTAAGCCTCCGAGAAAAAGCCAAATAAATAAATCAGTAATTAGGCAAAAAACATCCAAGCCAAAAACAGCTTCCAAGTTTCCAGGAAGAATTAGGTTGTTTATGGAAGTCCTGTTTCAACTAACAGCCTGCCTGGCAGGTGGTAGGAATGTGAGTTTGTGGAGAGCAGAAACATGAAGCGGCTCTGCCTGGGGCACTCTGCTTTGCTTTGCCATTTTCTTGTTTTAGTTAGAGGAGACATTACAAATATTAAAAAAAAAAAAAAAAAAAAAAGAGCAGAAAGGAGAGCTGTGCATCAGCGTGGCCTTCCCTACCTTGAATGCCATAGAGTCGATTCAGGCGCGACCGTCGTGCCTCGTCGGCGTAGGGCACCGCTACCCAGGGCATCTCACTGAAATACTGCTTGAAGGAGTCCTCTGACCTGCGCAAGGGGAACAGGGCATGGGATCCAGGGTGAAGCTCCTCTCCCTGCAAACCTCTTTCTTCCTCTCCTCATTAAAAACCTGGTCTGCAAAGCCCTTCATCCCTTCCACCAAAGCCCACCCGTAAGGGCTGCTGGCAGACAAAACCCAGGGAGAGCTAGACCAGATTTAAATCCCCCAGTCCTTTAGGAAGGGGTCCATGGTGCATTTTTCACCGATAAAATATTTCAAATTCTCTAGGGCACCCACAGTGACAGCAGCAGCTCGAGCATCCCTCTGACCTCCAACCCACGGGTCACAAAGCAAAATACGGAGCTGCTCCACGGACTGAGCCCGGTCTCACTAACTAGGGAGGGACCTCACCAACTTTTGAGGGACTGCTGCCCTCACTAACCCCCCTCTGCACTTGGCTGTTGGGCAGAGGACCAGACCAATCTGCTCTACCCCAAATTTAATTTCTTCCTCAAATCAAACCAGCAATGCTCCGGTAGCTTCCCAGCTTGGGGGCAGCCAGCTCCACCTGCACAGGTTGTTGGAGCTTCCTTACCTGTCTGCGCTAACGAAGAGGATCTCAAACTTCTGGCCTGCCTCCTTGATTTTCCGGTAGGACTCCACCAGGACCCTTGTGAGGCTTCGGCACGGCGGGCACTGCAAAACACAACACATGCATCAGGACATCATCTCCTCCACAGGGCCAGACCCACACCCAGCAGGTCCAGATGACCCAGTGGCCATGAAAAGACAGATGCGACCTCATCTTCATGGTGTACTGGGCAGCAGCCCTCAACTTGGCTGAGGTTTATGGCCCATAAGTTGCCAACAAAACCTCTTCCATTTTTACAGTGTGACCACTCTCGCCCTTCTGAAGGGCCAGCTGAGGATGACAGGCCCCTGCAACGCTGAGGCTTCTTCCAGAATGGCCAGAGCATCTTAACTGGTTCAATACCAACCAGCCAGAGGTCTCTACCTTCCCACAGAGCTCTGCAACAAGACCTGCAGTGGAACCCCCAGAGAACCTCCCAACCTCACTCAAACTGCTCTGCAAAACTCCCACTACTCACCCAGTGCGCAGAGAAATAGACCCCAACGTGCGAGCCCTCCAGGGCGGTGCTGTCTAGTGTCTGGCCATTGTTCCTTAGCAGAGGCCCAGCAACAACTTCACTGAAGGGTTTTGGCCCCCAGGGGAACTCCAGACCTGGACAGGGGTTGGGACAAGGGTGGAAAGAAGACACAAGATAGCAAGATGCTCAAAACAGCATTTACAGTTTCAAAAAGTTCCACAAAAAAACCCATCCCACCTCCTGAAAAGATACGGGGGACCAGGAAAGCCAAACTGTGCACCAGAGTCAGGGCCACCTCTTTCTCTCAGGTTGGCTGCACCCTCGCTCCAATCGCAGCACCTTTGGCTTGCCAAAGCCTGTTCAGGTTTTGTGCCCCAAAAGGCATCTTTTCCTTATCAGCAGTGTTTGTTTTAACAAGAGAGGGCAAGGTGGTACACGCTGAGGAATGCAGTCAGACTATCTGCCTTATACTGATACTAACCATCTATTTTATATATACACATATATTTGTTTATTTATAAAACCTTATATATATATATGTAAAAGATGGTTTATAAAAATATATAAAGATACAAAAAAACCCTATATATATAAACTAGACTAACCCTCTGCACCCCAAAGCAAGCATGTGTGCGTACACACAAACACATGCTCTGAATCATCTGCTGCCAGCTCCCGGAGCAATCAATCCACGTTCTCAGCCAGGGAGGAGGAAACATCACAGATGGCTCAGGCCAGAACGTCTACTTGCTGCACAGTTCCTGCCACCTGAATTAAAGACTCTGTCACTGCACTCAGTATCTACTGCATGAAGAAAGGTAATTGGTGTGCATGGACAGCCTAGCACTTGAAAGATGGGTTTGAAGAGTCTATGAGGAAGGGCAGATGTTTTGCTCATTTGGGTTTTTGCAAATTGGAATAAGATGGATTTAACATCAACTTCCAGTACAATAAACCTCAAAAACAGAGAATGGTAGCACTTTTCTGTTGCATTTGTAAATAATGGGGAATTCATTTATCCTAAAAAAATGTGATGTCAGTGATGAAGTCCCACTCAGTATTTTGGGAGGATTCTGCTCCCAAGGTATGGCAAGTCTGGGCCCTCAGTCTGCCTGTCCATGTGCCTCCATCAGGGAAAAATCCAAACTTAATGTTTCAGTTAGTCTAACTTTTTCCTCATTAGCACTTCAGACAAAAATCCTGGAGGGGAAATCTTTGTTCTTTTCAACAAGTAAAACCAAAACACAAGATCTGGCAGGAACGATGCAGAAAATTTTATGCTGAAAATAATACAGTGCCTTGATTAGTTAAGTATGACAACAGTTGTTTGTTTCCTTTTTTCTTCCCCCCACCCCCCTGCTTCCAAGGCAATTAAAAATGAACTGAAATGAAAAGGCAGACGCGTGCCCATGTTCCTATGGCGCATGGGACTCCAGGTCTCACCTTCTGGGTCATCTCGGATCACCAGGAGGCCATTCCTGCAAACCACCTTCCCGGTGGAGGCATCGATAAATATCAGGGAAGGAATGTTGGAGACTCTGTACTTGTTCCACAGTTTCAGCTGTAAAACAGATTGGAAGAGGAGAAAGGTAAATTTAGCAGCGTGAAGAGGCAGATCTTGGGGTGTTAGCATCTTTCAGACCAGAGGTCAGAGCTGACAGAAAAACAGAGTTGGGTGCTTCAGTGAAGGTATGTGAGGGCATCTCTCCAGAGCTGCTGGGCCAACCTGGACCTCCAGCACCCGCGGAGACATGATCTGCCAACACCATCCCCTCGGTACCGTGGGCGAGACCGGTCTCCTGCCTGTTGTGAGCTTGTCTGTGAGCACAGATAAAGCTTCTCCTCCTGCTGCATTTGCCTCTTTGCAATTTAAATGGGGATAATATTTACCATACTTTGAGGTCTTTGTTTAGAAGACATGGTAAGCACAAATACTTTTAATGCCGCTCCTCTGAAGCAATTTGTAATACTTCCCTGGCTGCTTCCTCCCTTCCCATTTCAATGTTCATTAAACAAACCAGCAAGCCCTGCCAAGGCACAGCCACGCTGAAAACAAGGCCAACACACAGAAACACAATTCTTCTGCAACTGGGGCTTCACGGGTTTCTTCCCAGGAAGCTGATTAATGGGTTTGACATCAGCCTGGTGGCCATGTAGCCCAGCTCAGCTCATCTATCCCGCACTGCCAGCCTCGCAGTGGTCCCCTCCGACCATGGGCAGGCTGTGATGGCCAAGTTTTTGATGTCCCAGTCTAGATGTTGCTGACCAACAGGTCTTTATGCTCTGCAGTGACCTCGGCTCTGCACAACACTGGTGCTCTGGGTGTCACACAGCCCTGGGTTGACATTTCTCAGCCTATGCTTCTAGCACAGGATAATTTAGAGCTTAACCCATGTACAGAAGCTCACGGGGACGGGGAGGAACGAGACGACGACAGCGGCTGGCACGGCCACAGACACAGACAGCCTACACCTGCAGCTGGGGGAGCCTGTCTCCCCACCCTGCACCGAGGAGCTGCTGCAATCAACTGCATTTACTTACATTTTACATTTCTCCAAGCGTTTTAACCTGAACAGCCCAGTGGTGAATTATCAAACTCTTAAACAAAAGCCAAACTATAGCCGAGAGCCAGAGGGGAAGGAAATGAATCACCACCACCTTTCCCCTAACGTCAAGCGCTGCTCTGCAAAGCCTCTCGGGCTCTGGGTGTTTACAGCTCGCTTGGGTTTGGAGAATAAAACCCAGCCAAGGGAGAAGAGCAGGAAGGGATCACCAAGAACCCCACCCAGCACCAATGTGAAGGTGGGTTTGAGCACAAGACCTGGAGAAACCTCACACAATGTGCTGCTGCTTCCATCAGTATCTGGAAGTGGTCCAGTGGAAACTGGACCCATGTGCTTTCCCAGAGAAAGAGGCCACGTCCCCGATTTCCGAACAGATGCAATCCCATTTCCAAGATGGGAATGACCAGGGGAACCAGGCAAACGAGGGCAGGAATGGGATGCAACGTGCAGGCAGAGCAAACTGCATCCCTTGGTTTGCTCACCAGAGATCTAGCTGAGGGGAAAGTCACATCCACATTCAGGTTTTAATAGCGCTGTATTAAATATTTCTTCCAACACCTTTTTATAAAAGATATACCTGGATGAGTGACATGAGCCAGTCTGCTTGCAAGAAGGCATTAGCAAAACCCTCTTGGGTCTGAGGGAAAGCATTAATACTGACCTTGGAAGACTAATTATTAACTTCCATCTACTAGGACCCAGACAAAGGCAACACTTTGTGTCCTGCCCACCCGCCTTCAATTTCCAATAGACGTATTTCTTGGGATGAGCTAACTCATTCATAATGCTGATTCACAAACCAAATGGCCTTGGGCATGAAAAAGGGAAAAGAAAGAACATACTAAATGCAAACCAGCCCCCTCACAACGAGCACCTTCAAACCACAGAAGGTAAAATCCACTTCTGTGAAGTTTAAAGGGTGGGGAAAACTCTTTATAAGGATCACAGGCATTTAAAAGGGTGTTGCAAACAATGAGGAAATTACAACTAGCAATTGGATCGTTCTCTTTAAATAGTTGCTTAGGTTTCATTTCATTTTGCAAAGTCCTTCGTATAGGGCCAGCAGCTCCCCAGGGGCATCACGGCGGGTCCTGGCAGTTTTTCTTGGCTGAGGAAGTGGCAGGGTCTGCACTTCAGCGCCAAGTGCCTGCATCCACTGCCCGTGCTCAGAGGGACAGGGCTGAGACACCCCAGATAAGGGGATAAGACAAAACCAAACCTGCTGGAAGCACTGGCAATCTACGGGCTCCAGCAGACCTGGCAGCTCTCACCAGCAACTGGCCCTGGTTATTCTCATGTATGCCATCAGGCCACACTGGGCTCAAACTGCCTTTGCAGAAACTATTCTTGCCTGCCCAGACACCTATGGTACGGGTAATCTGCAATGCAGACTCTCCATCCCCATGAAACAGAGGGTTGCCACTTCTACCTTATCATTGAAGGTCCACAAGAGAATGCCTCAAGCAAGCTTGAAGCTAGGTGAGTGTCAAGAGGGTCAAAAAGCATCAAAAAAGGTCAACGTGACATCTGCTGCTCCTAGGGTAGCGTGTCCATCACCGGGCTCTGAGCCTTGAACCCAATGAACATCGTGTCATGCTCAGTCACACATTGGTTGAAGGAGAAAAAGCAACCAGCACTGCCAGGTTTCACCTTGCATCCCTGCAAAAGCTGCAAGCATCACCCAGCTCCCAGACACTACCCCCCCAAGCCAGCACGGGTCACCCCAAACCTTTCAGAGCTTTGTGCATGCTCAGCAGTGCTTAACATGTGCAAACCAGGTTATCACCGAAACCCATCACACAACAGCAATGAACAAACACAAAAACTGTACGTAGGACGACAGGAACTGGGTTGCCGTTTTAAGCCTGGTTATAAAAGGCTTGAATTGCAAATTAGTGGTCTTGACGCACTAACCATATTAATTTTGCTGTCTGTATCAGAAAGTACATGAATGTGGTGTTTAAAGCGGGAGCAGTTTGGTTTGATGATCCTCCTGTGCTCTAGGAAAGCTGATGGGGAACGAGGAAGGCGCGCGCTGCAGGATTGAGTGCCAGGATCCACCACCATTCCCACCACCCTGGTCCTCTTCAGCCAGACCGGGCTTTCCGAAGCCTGTCAAGACACTTGTGAGGGAAGCCTGATGGCTCCTTTTTCTGCAGGTCAGACCTGAAAGATCAGAACCTTGAGAGAAAATAGGCCTGGCTCATTTTAGCTGGGCTTTTTGGATAAGATAGCTCATTATGGGATTCCCACACCACTATTTTGCAGCTGAACTGCAGCTTCAAGCAAAGACATCCAATCCCCACCTAACACCTCTGATCACCAGGATGACCTAACCCGTCTCGTGGCAAACTATTGCACCGGTTAGTTCTTCTAAGGGTAAAATCCTGAGGGTCTGCACCCTCGCAGGGTCTGGAAATGAGATGAGCTCCTCCTTGGTCCTGCTCAGCGTATGCCTGCTGGTTGTGGTCCAGGCAGAAAGGGGAGCCCAGGAGGAAAAAAAGCATCCCTCGTACGAGTACCTGCACAACCACGCACCTCGCAAAGGATCCTGTGTCGGGCTGGGCGTGGGACGAGGAAAGCAAATTATGACTTGCTCTGAAACCGCAGGAGGATGGGATGATAGCTCAGGCAGCAGGGCAGAGTGCTGCCTCAGCAACTTTTAAAAGCTGTTTTTCCTGCCGTGAAGAGGATGACATAGAAATAACATACTCCACACTCTGAGGATTTGATCATCCATTTAAAGAGGGGATCTCTGCTCCGCTTCCCAACAGCTGTTGCAAATCTGTGGGATCAAGCCAAAGCTAACACAGATGTGGAAATAATCTACGGACTGTTCAGCCCGAGAGCAGCTGATCCTCTCGGAGCGCCCTTCGCTCCTGGTTCAGGCTGTGCTCCTGCTAAACTCCATACTCACTCCAGAACAGCCGCTGGAGCAGGAGCGAGGAAATAAACCCCCTTGCAAGACGCCGTACGGGCTTGATCAGCTTTACAGAAACCTCTCTGGCTCCTGTGCAGGTGGTGAAGTACAGCAGTCCAGTGGAAAAAACAGACTCACCAGATTCCTCCGGTAACCTTATCCCTCCGCAAAGCATCACCACGCAGCCCTGGAGGACCTGGAAACCGCAGCCCTTGGCTCCCTCTGCAACTCCATCCACGAGAGGCTTTAAAACGATGGCTTATTATTTGAGGTCTGAGGCAATCCCAAGACGTCAGGCCACGCAGCAGCGCACGGCATCGCTCCCAAAGCTGCTCTCCGCGCCGGCGGCTGGCTCGGTTATTTCCCCCCACCCCGGTGACTGGGAAAAGCCTGGCCGAGAGGCACGTTGGGGAGAAGTTTTGCAGACAGCCGCAGTAATTTTTCCAGATAAAGGTGTCAGACGAGAGGTCTCCCCAGCAGCCCACGTTTCTGCACAGGGCTGGCACCCAGCCGGGGCAGATGAAATCCCCTCCTGCTCTGCACGTACTGGTGGGGAAGGGATCCCCGGCTCCCACCAGTTGCCAGGCTCTATTTTTGGTTGTGCTGATGGATTTATCAGCCCTTGGTCGCGTTCACTTACTAACATAAATCCTGAGTTGCAGCAGTTAACGCTGACAAAGATAAAGCACAACTGCTTGCAGTGAAAAGAGCCCTGGCCGGTGGGAAAGTGGTCTTCCTGCCCTTGGCTGGGGGCTGTGCTCTTCTGCTGTTTTGTGAAGCTGGACCACAAAAGGTCCTCTGCATCCATCCACCCATCTTCCATAGGATACAGAGGTGTTTCTGCCCAGGAGATGCAGAGGTTTCAGAGGCACCTCCAGCAGCAGGGCAGACACTGCTTCTGCTCATCTTGCAATGCCTGCTTCCATCCTGACCAGCAACAGCCAGATAAAGCCCATTTAAGAACTCAAAAGCAGATCCCTCAGGAATAACAGACATGTTTCCAATGTGGATGGCTGCTGCTTTCTGCTAAATGAAATGTAAAGCCACTTTTCTTCTAAAAATCCAGTCTTGGAGGCAACACCCTCAGGGTCTGTCTGGGCAGTTCCTCTGGTGAGGCGTTGGAAAGACCCTGCTTTCCAGCAGCCCACGCAAGAACACAGCAGGGTTTCCATTACAGACATGAGGAACTCACAAGCAGTACTCAGGTGGAAAAGCACCTTTGGTCCAGGGCCGTGGGGGCCGTCAGCTCCACGTCCCAGCTCTGCCTCCACCACTCTCCGCCGGCTCCAGGCTGGCGAGACACAGCCATCCCCACCGCTCTGCTCCCACACTCCGGCGCTGCAGGGGACTTCTCTGTCCTCCCTCGCACGCCGTAGTAAACCACGGCTTTTACATCGTGCCTTAAAGGGTTTACAAGCACCAGGGGCCACCCAGGCGCCGCAGGCAGCAGGCACGGGGCTGCAGAACAGGCTGCTCCCTCGCCCTGTCCATTTAAACCCAGGTCACGCCTGTCCCTGCGATTCAAGCTCAGCCGGAGCGAAGGCTCCTCTTCCAGCCCTCCCTCGCCGCTCCTCTGCCTTCCTGCACGAGGGAACCCCCTTAAATAAAAGGGGGTGCAGCACGGGAACAGCACGCAGCCGAGCAGCGGGGAAGGCGTCGAGGGCAGATGGTGCACACCAAGGTCTGACCTCGTGACACAGAGGGGACCGAGCGAGGCTTGGGGTAAATTAATGTCTATTGTGCTGCTGTTTTCTCTCTGAAAGCAAATCAAAATTTAATTACAAAATACAATGGTGAGAGGGACGTCTGCTCTGAGAACATTAATGAGCTGAGGAGGGAGGATTTGGAATTGTAATAAACAAGATTGATGTGAGTGGCTGAGACTGACAGTGCAGGGCACCGGGGCTGCTGGCACACAGGGACCGGTGGGCAGCCAGGCTACTGTCCTATCAGTCCCTTTCGCCTCTACAGTGGGAGAAAGCCCAGTTAAAACCAACCTTAGGACCAGTTACCCCCAGTGCTGGGCCCAGCAGCGCCTGCTGCGGATGGTCCCCCGCTGGTCACGTTCCAGAAATATGACTTGGTCCGAGCAAAAAATAAACAAATCAACCCAAAAGTCCAGCTTGTCACCTCTACCCTCTCCTTGCCGTGTCTCCGCAGCAGGAGCCTGGCACAGCAGGGTCCAGCTTGTGGCCACCCGCGTGGCCCCGCAGCCGGCGGGGGGACAGGGGAGACCCCAGCAGGAGCCAGCTTGCAACCCCGAGCTTTTGTTCTCGCCGCGCAACACAAGGGCGAAAGCTTTGGAGCTGAAGAGGAAGGAAATCCTCTCTGCGGGGTTTTCTGGCAAAGCAGCTGCCAGCGCAAGGCTGCTCTTTGTTCCCCCCGAGGAGCTCCGCAGCCAAAGCCCCAGGGTGAGGGACCTGGGCCAGCCCAACCTCGTGTCCCTTTCCTTTCCCTTCTTCCCGTTTTTCTTCCTCTTACCGCCGTGCTCGCCCAGCGCTGGCACCGTCGCTCTTCCCCATTTCCCGGGCTGAGCCGTCCAAGCGACTGCGAGCTGAGCATTTTATTGGAGGGCAAAAGCAGCATATGGCTGGCACGCAGTCCCGGCTGGGAGCACAAGCTGCCTCCTCTCCTCCCGACGCACACGCAGGCTGACAGGCTGGATCCTCCGCAGCCCACATCTGATAGGAAAACATTTAATTTGAGCAGAACTGAAGAGCGGTTAACATGATCTATGGAGAGCAAAGCCCCGCAGGGCCCCGCAGCTGACACCGGAGGTGGCCTGGTTATTTTATATGTGCAAGTTTCAAAGAGGCACTGGGCTGGCAGCTTGGTTTGATCCCAGGATCAGGGCAAAGCAGCATTTGTCTAAAGGTACAGATAACGACGCAGGCAGCAAATCATGCAGGGGGGATGCTACAGACGGGCCGGTCTACCAACATACAAGGAATATCTTTTATCCACCCCCTTTCTCCAGGTGTCCAACAATCAAATTGTATTCAACAGCCTGAAGATAATGCGTAATTTAAGGACACCCAGGACTAGGAAATTCACCTCCCAAGAAATGCCTCTTTTTCTCCATGGGCATGCCTTGCTTTACCTCTTAGAAGGAGGCCTGCATATGTGAACACCTCAAGATATTTAATAAATAACTTTTCTCCCTGCAGTTCTGCTTTGAGCCAAGTACTCCCCCTTCATCCCCAGGAGAACAGGGGGCCGGGGCTTGCACAGAGATGGGTGTGGAGCTCAGGGGGTCCGCCAGCACCCTCAAGCAGCCTCGGGCACCTGCTTTTCACTGGCATTTTTTCATGCTTTCCTGGTAGGTAAGACAGCAAGACAAACACATAAAAAGCAGTGAGGACAGAGGGAGTTAAAGTGTTTGCGGGAAAAATTTAAGACACATGTAGAAGTGCATTATACATGGCCCCTATAAATTACGCCCCCAAATGACTAGCACCGAGTAAGAAACAGCTATGTAAACACAAAGGTAATAAGAAAAAATAATAATTTCTCTCTCTCTACGGGGAAGGGATATTTTCCCATCTGTTTAGAGGAAAGGGCGAGGGGTGGGGTGGCAGCCTGGGACGTCGAATTGAAGTTCAGGGTCTCTCTTGGTCCCCAGTCTCATCCGTCACGGGGAGCGGGACGGCTGCCAGAACCTCTGCACGATACAGCCTGGGTTTCCCACCCGCCGCCCGCGCTTTTGCCGCTACCGTTCCCTCGAAGGCGGCCGGAATCGAGCACCGATAGCAATCTCCAGGTCAAACGCCTCGCCATCCCCCATCGCTAAGAAACAAACACTTCTGCAAAGTCTGGAGTTTAGACAGAGTTCCCACCAAACACAAAAGCCTTTTAAGTCCGCGGGGAAATGGGCATGTTTTGTTTTGTTTAACGCACACAATGAGGTATTAGTGTGATTTCTGTTGTGTTTTCAGTGGTTGATCCGAAAGGGAACCTTACACAATGAGACCAAAAAAAAAAAAAAGATGGAAAACAAACCAGTATTTGCTAGCACTGTAACGCTCCCAGGGGAGCAAGGGCTTCAGGACACTGCAAGCCCCAGGAGCCTCGTGAGCTGTGACCTCCCCAGGATATGCCAGCACCAGGACATCCCCCAGACCACCAACACGGGAGACCCTTGTAAAATCACCACAACATCTGCAAACACCTTCT